TGGCGGGCCCAGGAGTTAATTGCTCTTTTCACTCAAAATTAAAGGCAAGCAACTGGCCTCTGCTCTCCCTCGACCCCCTAATAAACAGGGGTCGTGCGTTCAACAGGCAGAAACTGCTCTGCACACTCGGGGTGAAACAGAATCGCATCTCTTACTTTTTTAGTCTTCTGCGCTCCCCGGGCCTTTTAGGAAAATTTAGCACCTCTTTCTTGAGGTGTCTCCCCAAATATTGTTTTATCCAAGAACACAGGGAGGTTTGCAGGGTCGAAAGGGAAGGGCCACTTCAGGCCCCACAGAGAACCTGCACCCCCAAAGAAGCCAGCACTGCTGAGGTGAGGCTCTGACACTCCAGGCTCTTCCAGAGGCTGCCAGACAAGCCCACTGCCTTGGGATTGAGTCTGGCCCACAGGTGGGCTCCAAATACCGCCCAGCTTTTGAAGCCACCCACAGGCACGGCCAAGGTAGCAGCCAGGCCCCGGATGGCTGCCACAGTGTCAGCCCCCACATGGGCCCTGTGCGCCCTTCACCCACACGTAAAGGCTCCTCCCCTTCTCCTGGTCAGTGGGGCTGCCAGGGTGCTCTGGAAGGAAGACAGCCTTCTGGGGTTCCCCTCTTACCTCTGCCTCCTGAGAGAAGGCCCCACAGAGGGTCCAAGGTGACACATTCTCCAGTGGGAAATTGTCCAGTCAATCCCAGGAACATCCTGAAAGAGGAAAGGAAACCTGTGACCTGTGGTGGACTCCTCACCTCCGAAACAAAGTTTGGAACACTGCACGGTTCTTCCCGGCTTCCCCTCCTTCCAGTCCCCCATCCACGTCGCCCTCTCTCCCCTCCTGCTCACCCCTCCCCTCCCATCTCTCCTTCTCTCCTCTTAGGCCCCTGCTTTTCCCTCCAAGTCTACCTCAGTTTCCCCTTTCTATGTCCCACCTCTCCTTTAAATAATACATTTTCAATCTGTAGTTGAAATTTCTAAGCACAAATTTATAATATAAATATAATATAATATAAATACACAAATTTATAATACAAAGCTTCCCAGTTGCAGGAGTTTTGGGACAGTAACACAGAATTACCCGAGAGGGCACTAAACAGAGGTGGTGGTTCAGGCAGAGAAACTCATTTACATGATTTGACGGAAGTTATCATAACACTATTTTCCCGGGGACCTTCAAATACTTCTCTCCTCCCTTGCAGCACACACACTGCAAGACACCTAGACACACTGTGAAAACTAGCGACCCAAGAACTTAACCAACAGGCACATCCCTGCTGGCACGTGAGTTTCTTTGAAAAGTGAATTTGAAAATGAAAGAAAAATATTTGAGTCCACACTAAGCACCAGAATGTGAAATAAAATACGAAGAGCTACAAGAAGGAGCTGCGGAGAACGAATGAGCAGACGTACAGAAGGTACAGAGATGGGACAGAAACTCCATCTCCAGCTGCTGGAAGGTGTGCTCAAACGAAAGGAGGCCAAGTGAAGGCCGTGTCTCCACTGAGGTTCCAGAAGCCCACCCCACCTAGTCCTCAAGATCACCTTCTTCTTCGAGTTATGTTTTGGTTTGTTTTCCAGCATCCAAATGTATTTATTCACAATCGGCAAACAGAAAATTCTGTTAAATTTTCATCAACTTTTTTTTTAATTAAAAAGTGGAAACAAAATGAAATTTCCTGGAATGTTGTTAACCATACCTTCAAAAACAAAATCTCCGGGAACTGCAAAAGATTTTAATCAACTGTTGGCTCCAAAGTTGTATTTATCTTGTATCGAGTTGGAGACCCAACTCCTTCTGAAGGCCATCAAAATCAGTGTTAAATTAATCTCCATTAAAAAGAATTAATTGAGATAAAACTCATACAACAGAAAGTAACCCCTTTAAAGCGAACAATTCAGTGACAGTGCGTTCACGTCATGGCCCCTGAGTTTTAACTGCCCCCCCATCCCTTTCTCTGTTTCTTCACTCTCCCTCTCCCTCCCATCTGCCTTACAGAAGACAGTCTGGAATGAATTCCAGGACTTCAAAACAGCTGGGAAAGATGTAAAGCTGCACGGGTGGTCCGGCCCCCTCCCACCTTCTCATCACTGTCTCCACTTTTACCTCCCGGTTTCTTCCTTCCAGCCTCCTAGTCTCCCCAAACGCCCCCACACCCCCACCTTCTGCCCTTCAGGTTCTTTAATTCCATTCACTTTCGTTGCTCACCCCCTGACCATGAGCTGGGCTCCCTCCCTTTCTCCGTCATGACCACAACCACTGTGTTTCCCACTCCCTCCTCGTCTCCTGCCTTTTCCCTCCACCACCTATCTCCTGCTCAAGTCTCTAGAGCATCCTACCTACAGGCTCCCTTGTCCCCCTTCCACCACCATCATCTCTCAAAACCCCTTTTAGTTAGTTCTCTCCTACCCCCACTATCCTCCTCATCCATCCCACCC